TTTTTCCTTTGAACCAAGCCCACGTTCCTTTGTCGTTATATTATGCAGTAGAAGATCAAGAAAGCTTCACCTGCCCATCCAGCTTCGCTAAGGAAAAGGTTGCCTTCGGACGAGGAATTCATAACTCAACACTATCAGCACGACTGGGTAGCTGGTGAAGTATGACGTACCTATTGCACTTGACGTAAGAGGCGCGCACGGCCACATGTAGGCCTCTTCTCTCGACCGCTGTTGAAATGCATTTTCATGTTACTGAAGTGGTTGTCCGCCTATATGGTATTCTATTTTCAAGTCTGTTCACAGCTTTCTATCATGGCCAATAGGCTTCGCCCTGTTTGTTCAACCCCGCTCGCGGTATATGAGAATATAATCCAGACGCGTAGTGCTCTATCTAAAATATTTCAGAGCGCGACGGCTTCTCACAGCGGTCACATATTGCTAACATTTCCCAAATTAAACAAGCTTTGGACATGATAGAGCTGCCCAAATCAGACACGTTTTCTATCCCGTTTCTCTCTCTTGTTTGGTTCAGAAATAATTGATTTCGGATCTGCGTACTGCATACGCTCAGACATGACGGCAGAATCAACGGAGAGATATCAAAACGGCACGTACTGTTACGCAGTTATTATGTGTCTTTCAGGCACTCGTCTTCAATCGACGACAAAGAAACTAATAGCACCTAAAAAAAAGCTCAGAAGCTTCAAAACGCGCTAGGCTTTATACCGACATATACACAATCGTATGAGGGGCTCAAAGTTATCTATAAGTGGATTTACGATTAACTTATGGCAGGTAGAATCGAACATCTAAAACTCTAACCATGGTTTCTACTCTGCTGAAACTGTAAATCCAGGATTGCTATATCGCTTAATAGGAGTAAAATAATAATTTAGGTCTTGGTCCCTACCTATTCGACAGTTAAACTAAGTCAAACCTTCAGCTTGTGGAGGCAATAGTTTTACTCTGAGGTGCATACGGACTACCTCACCTCGCGTAATAGATAGCATTCGATAGATGTGTTTTTCATTTCTCAGATTTTTTCAAGATAAACGTAAAAACATCTGTGCGTGTTCGCATTGTAGTGAGGCTTACTTTCCGCTGCCCTCCGATATTTCCTCAAAACCCCTATATATATATATATATATATATATATATATATATATATATATATATATATATATATAATGCGTTCCAAGTGGAAATTTGTCGTAAAGACCTAAAAATAAGCCATTACGTAGGACACGATATTCTCTATGTTTCTTCAAATTTATGCAAAAGCTACAGTAATTTAAAAGCGCATAAGTTTAACTTAAATTCGTATTCTTAACTATTAGCTATAAATACCACAATCTTATATCGGTAGAAACCAGTAACAGTTGATAATCTATGAAAATTTCCTTAGCGACAGCTGATTATATTTCCACGGTGAGCTCTGCTTGGTCGCCATGGGGCTCTCTGTGCATCAGAACAATCCTTGAGCATGTTTGTGCCAGGACTGATCATCTGGAACGTTTAAGATTATATTAGTACCTAAAATTGCGTTCGTTTCTTTTATTAATGCTCCATAGTCACTTGTTATTATTATTATATTACTATCCCTACTATACAAACAAAAAAAGACAGACTGCAATTCACATAAGACTATCCATAGCGCCTGGCAGTACACATCCTAAACTAGCCGATTATCTTGAGATCCTAATGCATAACATTTACTTTATTCCTCCAGAATGTCTCAAACGCGCCCAAAATGGCAAACACGCATCTGTTTCAGTACGTTGCCATGGTAATGACGAAAATACGGCCACCGCTCGTTCAAATCTCAAGGTTAACAAATGATGACTATACTATATTGTTATCCTTGTCATCTCACAGAAGCCGCTTCACAGGCTTATTTGGGATCAATCCTTTTAAAGCCTTTTACAATAATTTCTAACGGCTTATGCTGTCGTAGCAAACCTAATGTGTAACCATAAGACCACTCTCTGCGAAATGCCCAGTAAATAATGCAGAGTAATATCAGCACACGAATCAGATCATATTTTTTGCCATTATCCGCCTGCAGCCATATTGATCTAAGCGTTCCATGCAAAACGTACATTGTTGACTTCCACTGAATACAGGACGCGATCTCATCGCTCGTATGCTTGGGAGTTCTGCGATTAGGTCAGTCCCAAGCCGACCCCTTTGTCTGCCTGCATTTCTCGATATCAAAGACATCCTGATACTAGGTAGGCTAGTTAAATCTATTACTCCAGTTGACTAGTTTCAGCAGAAAGATAAGCTGTTTGGCTCTGTCCTTCGAAGCGATGAAGCCCTACATGAACACTAAATGAAAGACTTGCCAGAACTTGAACGTCTGGAAGTAAACAGATAAAAATGGCTGCCAGTTCGAGCATGCGTCGTGACGTTTAGCATCAAACCGGAATTACATTTTTGCCTTTGATCATGTTATCGTGTTCGTTCCGCACCTGCTGGCTAAATGTTTTACGTTTCACATACGGTCCTGCCGCTAAACTATTCTCAAGACATCAGTACAAACATAGAAGCTGTTGGGATAAATATTGTATGATGTATGCTGCACAGGGTATCACATGACGCGTACGTAAAGGATGAGGTATTATCTTACATTAAATGGTCAAAAACGCGTGATGCGGGTTCGAAATCGGACGTGAACGTCCTCATTTTTGTGCTTGAGGAAACCAGGCATCTGAAAAATCCTTAAAGGCGGTACCTTACGTAAAACCAAAAAAATGTGCAATATAATATTTACATGGCAAGGTTGCGGTCAGTTCCAAAGTCACTTAATATGTAAGTTAGTATGCAAAAACAAAGTTAACTAAAATCGTTACATTGCTACTTAACTGCTATGCTATACGAAACGATTCTAAATTTACTGACTAGGTTCGACAGACGAAATAATAGGAATACTGGAACTAGGGTATCCTCGTCAGGCGCGGCACACAGTTTACCTGGAGCTGTACGTTCTCGACGAAACGTTCCGCCTGCAATATCACTAGTGCCATTGACGACAAAACACCTTTCCGCGTTTCCGTTGACTTCACGGACTTCAGAATCTAGTGACCTGGTATTCCAACCACTCAATAGCGATCGATTAGTTAACAGATCCAGCCAACGCTACAGTTTGTTATAATGGATTGTCATTTATGTTAGCGTAGCTGCTTTTGCTGTCGCCCTTTCCTTTTCGAATGGGATCTTCTTGGTCAAATAGGAAAAGTATGGAAAAAAAGGGTTGAGTTCAAGCGTTCGAACAAACAGGCCATATATGCGATACTGTTTTTCTCACTGCAGCTGTGACTTATGATCGAATTAGTTTCTGAACCATGCGACCGCGAGAATAAGCCCTCCTTTTGTTGGTTCTATTGATCGCCCATCTAACATGCGGCACAGATTTCAAGATACCACCTACAATCTGAAAAAAAATCCTTGGATTAATTGGAAAAGTCGCAGCATCGCTCCAAACTACGACCTTGTAACTAATGTCGCTAGCTAGAGTAGCTAGAGTTACTATTAGAATATCCATACAGTAGGGTTAATTTCTTACGGAAGTGTTCTGGGTTAAAAAAAAAACCTATATTCCTCAAATAACGTGGTCGACTTTGGCTCATATTTGTAATGCCAAGATGTTACATATATAAGGTCTGTTTTTTCGGTCCCTTTTGTACTCTAATGCATAATGGGCAATGGCTCTGTTTTGGTTTCCGTCGCAGGAGGCAAGCCGCGCAGTTGAGGAAAATCCCGTTCGCTAATAGATATCTTTGCTCCTGTAAAATCGCCTAGAATTGGCAACTATAGAGAATGCTATATCATGAATCCTTTGCGGAAGCCCTATCCAATAGGTAGGAGAAGCTCTTATATTTCAATTATTGTAACCGAAGTGCCTAACTTAGGCTTGCCAAGCGCTTCTGTCACGGGCAACAGCAAAACTCACAAGAGAACTGGAAGCAAAAGCAAGCAAACGAAATATTTGGCCGTTATCTCCTATAAGCGATTTGAAAAACGTAGCTCGTAGTATGAAGAAGCTTAGAGAAGTGATTCGGATGTGTTTATGGCGAACGTCCCTCGACGTCTCTCATAAATTGTGCAGACGCTGCTGGAAAGCTGCGTTGAAAGATGTTGTCAGCGACACCCAGCGGTAGACCGAAATCGTCTTGCAATTTACCACGTCTAGAGAAAGCACGAGCACGTTCGTCACACAGTGTCTCGTTCCGACATTTCGTATGGTAAGCCTTGTTTGGCGACAGCGAGTACCGCGCGACCTTTAATAATATAGGATAGATTTAAGTGGCGATAATTGCCCAGCTCTGACTGCGGGCACCCATCTTGTTTTTACTTGCGGCAAAAGTAAGAACATGAAAAAGAAATAAACTGTGTAACTCAGCCAGGAACCCTCAAAGCCATCTATTTCTGATATTTTCTAAATTGTTGCCTTATAAAATTAATCGTTTGCTCACAGAAATCCCATTAGTAAGCAACTACGCCATAGATGCCAACGATTGTCTGCCTTATCCTGCTAGAAACTAGGACAAATAAAGAATAGTTCCTTGAAGGGTAACACAGGCCTAATATGTTTCTATACAGATTCATTGCGGCAAAAAGTAAATCGTAGTCTCGCTCTCGTGCTCCTTCTTTCTCTAAAAAGATTTTTCAGTCTCACAGGTATATTTCTAGGCAACATGTGCGGTTAAGTAAAACGATATTTGTATCAAGACATTAGCTTTTTCATCAATTTAAATTCAGTTATTATTACACTTCGGCCATCCTCCGCTTCCGTAACGCTTATGTATCGATTGAGTGTTAGCGCCACCCATTGGCGTCAGTTTCTTATTAGATGCATATAAGCTTTACTCGAATCGCAATTGGAGACCGGCACACAATCCTAGGTGCGATGCTTGCATGCTTTTATCTTCTCACACTCTATTTGCCCCCTCTCGGTTCTTATTATTCTGCTATCATTGTTACTGCTGTTGTTATTGCAGAAGATGTCATCTCAAGCCGACCGACCGCTAAACCCCCTCCGCCGCTCGACATACTGTTGTCCACCGCAGCTGTTACAGCCCCATAGCATTGCTGGACCAGGCAACAGACGAACGTCCCTCCCTGTCATCGCGCTCAGTGGTCAGCCTGGACTTATGGTAAATAAATAATATAATAACGCATCTTTTCTTTCTTCTATCTTTCCCAGAAATCTAAGAGAGGCATTGTAAGGCAAATTTTGCGTAATGACCACCATCATATGACGCCCACAACACACTGCAACAAAAGTAGGCTGTCGAAGTAATCAGGGCACTGAGGACACGTCGAGTACATTTTATATAAACGAACGTATATATATACTATTTCTATGGCTGAACCCTTTCCACCGTATTTTAAATAAAGGTTATTTCCGTTCTCTGATACTAGGAAATCTGTCTTATTTTATATTGCCTACTAAGTGACACGTGTAGTGCACGGAGATCAAATAATAGAGAATACTCGGACTTTTGCTTTAGATGATCTGATAGTGTTATGAATTTCAATCCCTATATTACGAAACGTGGATCGAGTAGGGGGTTGTCAGTAGCCGGATCAGAAGAAGATTGGTGTTGATAGATCGTTTTTCCATTACACCGTCGCTTGCACTCACCGTTCCTGTGGCATAGGTGATGCTCGCGGCTGGTTTTGGGTAAAATGTGTTTCCTATTCTAACGTATTTCAACTTGTCAAAGATGTCGAAATTTAGGAACAGTCAACAATTGAAAGTAATCATGTTTCTGATGTGATGATGGTTTGACTGAGCAGGCCTCGATCTGCTGCGGTAAATATACCCAATGCAGCAACGTGATCTGCATCAACGTTGCCCAAACATCATCAATCCTTCCCAAAAACTTTAGCCACCCTACGAATCGTTTTTGGACAGTATCGACATTCAAATATTCACATACTCGCACGTTTTAATTTTATTACTAATAAATCTAAAATAACCTTCAAGTATTCAGTGCATCTGGAGTCTTCTTCCAATATTTGTTCGTCCTTTAAAAAAAAATCGTCTTTGATGGTCGCTCGATAAAACACTGCAAGAAGTCGTAGAAATTTTGGCGCATTTATTCAAAAACCAGTCGTCGCTTTAAATTTTAAAACACTTATTTTTTTAATCTACTCTGACCGGGGGGGGGGGGGGGATATAAAAATATTAGAGAAGCCGGACTTTAACCTAAATACGACGAAACAGAAGAGTTCTTCCTTTGGCTTTGCCATGTCTCAAAGAAAACACTTATGAGAATCTGTTTGGAATGCAGGAAAAAAAAGCTCGTTTGTCTATTTATAAACTATCGCTTGCTTCCCAGACTCTCTCTACTCACTCCTCTCTGTTGTCCTGGGAGACAGCCTTCTGAAGCCTAAATGCTATAGCGACGTTAAACACGAAAAGATACCTATATATACATAGTTTGACACGTCATCATTCCACGATTAATAGAAAATGCCTAGTCATCGGCTAGGCCCGTATGGTTAAACAAACCAAATTCTCTGTAGAGAAAGAGAATGAATACTACTAATTCCGAGGACCTGTTCACCCGGTAGAAATAGTTAAAAGCGTGTAGAAGAAAAGAAGAACGAGGATCACTAGATATTATATCTATAATATATTGGATGCTACTAAGCGCGTAGTTCCGAAAAGTGAGACTTCTGAAGCATTTTTCGGTAGATAAAACATAGAGATTTCATCCAAAGTTTGACCCCAAAAGGAGTCTAAATTTGAGAGCAACAATCAGCAGCAATGCATAAAAGCAGGGCCTAATGGAAATAAACTTCCAACTTTAACAGCATAACTTGCGGCAAGCTGATCTTGTATCATATAACGTGAATTTTTTCGTGGGCCATTTTCAACATTTTCCTGCCCCGTTTCATGCAGTTCTTTTAGAAGTTTTTAGACTTACTAGTTTCAGATAGCCCGATTCTCAAGATATTCTATCTGGGGAATTACATCAATCGGTCTGCACTAGTTCAACTATGTATCAAGACAGAGCTGGCTTTTCGGGGTCCTCACCTTCTTTTGGAGGCTCATACAGCTCAGCACACAAAAGGCAACCAATCTGAATTAATTTTCTTCGCAGCGAAGTTTTGCAACGCAAAAACAGAGAGCTATCCATATTTCACAACACCTATCATCTTAGTAAATCGCTCGAAGTTTCGGTTTTTACATTCAATAAGGACAGTTACACAAAAGCTAGAAATAAAGTTAAGACATCAACGGCAGCTCGATCTCCGCGGCCGATGTGCACCTTTTTGAATGCGTTGCCATGGTAACTGTAAGTAAAACCTGGATACTGTCATGTTTGTTCAAATTTTGCTAAAAATCCATGCCAGATATTCAGAGGAAGCAGGAATGAAGCACAAATAAGGAATTAAGGAAAATAAAGTATTCTTAATAAGGTTAACAGCTATTTGTACGATTACTATACCTTTTCATACATCTGTTAGACCCCCCCCCCTCCCCATTGCAGTTGGATTTCAAAGGGAGGCAAGTTTCTGATGCAAAAGAAATGGTTCCGACGTGTTTATACGGGAAAAATAATATATGGATGTTCTAAGGTTTTATACGGATTGATCAAACCATTTGTTTCTACTTAAGAAAGCGGATACAATTGATTTATTCACTCGTTCACGGATGTCATTATATGTTATAGTGGAAGTTAGGAAGCCGAAAGCAGTTGTTAGTAAACTTCTTGTGTAATGATATGGCATTCTAAGATTCGATTTATGTTGATATCTTGAGTCAATTATCTTCAAAAGCAGTGGGTATACCACAATGAAGATCAATCGAAAATATACGTAAGATGCGTTAAATATATCTGTACTGAAGATAGAGCGCGTAGAGATTTAACATAGATTATGATGAATCTATGAAGTAGACATCGTTTAAGAATGAAGCAGTTATCATACCTCATTGATCTTTTCAGTTATTCTATGGACGCAGTGCGTATAAATTAGATAAAGACTAATATTTTCTAATAACTTATATTAATTTTTTATCTATCTCTAAGCTTCTCTCTTGTCCTAGTAAACATCTGTCTTTATCCTAATCTTGTAAAAGGTAATAAATCGTTAATACGTTAATTATTGTCAATGAAGAAGCGTTTTTTGTTTATTTATTTTCAGGCTAACCCATAGCTGTGACGTACAGAATGTTGACGAATGTATATAGCCGTACGAGAGATTCTTCACTCTTTTTTTTTACGAATACGCATTCAGAAAACGTATTATTTCATCGAAGGAAGATTTTTTGTGGTTTTCAAAAAAGTTTCCTCAATTTTCCACTGGCAGCAAAATCTTATCTTGAACTTCTCCAACATACTACACGCTAAATCGGCCAGATATTTGCCGAAAAAAAAATATCGAGGACAAATGCCATGTTGAAACATTGCACAACCTTTCTACACGTTAGGGTAGTTTGAGTCAGCCTACTTATAAAAGCAAACTAACTTTCTATTATTTTAGTGATCCCTTTTAAATAGCACGTTCAAGCCGGCCTTAGGTCAAACTGTTCTGCCTAGGCATCGTTCGTACATAATTCCATTAGATCCTATCTAACAATGCCGCATAGGTCCTAAGTGGGCCTCGTTCGATTATTGCAATATCGTATCCATTCCAGTGCGCACACAAAGCCCATTGCCAGCAGCGCCGCGCTAACAACCGGCCGCAGTAGATGTTAACGAGGAGTTGCAACTTAGGTTTACAAAACAACATCCCAACTCGTAATATCTATTAAGTTACACGTTTCCGTGGCTGCTGTCGTCTGCGCTAATCGACATAATAATATTTTTCCTATTGAACATAGCCGCATCCGCTGTCGACGGTTTTCCTATTGCTGATGATAGCTCTCGTCGCTTATTTAGTCTGGCCTACCTATACGCTTATTTCAGTTTAACTCCCTGTTGCCCTGACTACCACGGTAGTTTGTTGGAGCGTCAGTGTCAACTACACCGCTATGATCGTCAACAATTGTTTGAGGTGTCAACGCTTTAGCTCACGAGGAGGCTCGCGAAAGGCCATATGGGACTATCATTGTAACAATAGTCTTACCTTGAGGCTACAGCCTCTTTACATACGATATCCGCTCGCAGGTACATCGTCATCCCTGTCACGGAGTCAGCAGTGATGACAAGTGGGTTATGTCGACGACATTACCGGACCGGTTGACATTTTACCTGTCTGACTCTGTGTCTTTGCGTCGGCTGAATCAATCACAAGCGGAGCTCCACCAACGCAAGAAGGCCAAAAGAAATTTTTGCATTATGTAACGCATTTGGCTTGCATCTGACATTGTACTAGAGTTCTATTGTGAGAATAGCAACAATAACAACAAACAACAACGAAGTCGTAAACAGAACTGCATAGGGTGCATGCGCCAGCAGAATTTTGATATGACGCGCGACGACGCTACTCTGGCTATCTAGGGAAAAATCCCCGTCGCCGCCCGAAGGCCCTGGTCTCGCGCAAATAAATAAACGTGTACCCTACATACGTACACACAGCCGGAAGTCAGCGGCTCCGCAATTCTCGTCGTCAAATCTTTATATCATCATTAGATTTTATTCAGTTGTTATAAATCGTGCACAACCAGCATCCCGTTAACGTTTTTCATGCTTGACAATCTCTCTTATCGTGTTCTATAGTTCCTTTATACATATTACTATATAGCACGAATATAAATCTTTCTACTTTCGGGTGACATGGCGCGACCGCAACGAGCCGGCTGTTTTTGATGGTTGCCGACAATGACGTTGGCCACTGAGGCCGACTAAAGCAAACGGTCGAGCATGCATCACAATAGAAGCGCAAGAAACTGACGAAACTATAGCTGGACTACGGCGGTCGTAAGGGACAGGGTGAAATAGCAGACGAAATGGGGAGGAAGGATAGTACGACAATAAATTGTTATCTGCTTGTTATGATGGTACGATAATACCCGCAGCGCACCCTATCTTAACGATATCGTATGTTCTACGAGAGCAGATGTCGTTTCGAGTAAAAGGGCCCGTCACAGTTGACACTTGATGCTAGGACCTAGCTGCACTAAGGAGTAAGATAGAGACGACTATCGCCGTATATATATATATATATGGCGAATTTGGATAAAAAAAAGCTCTATAAA